TCAGTTCATTTGCTGCTTCAGACCCTGCCATCTTCCATTTGGGTTGAGATCTGGAATTGAGCCACGGTAAACCTTTCCTTAGAGGTCCCAGTGGACTCCTCTTGATGGAAATACCTTCTTATGCCAATGCCTGCACTTTCGTTCACGGGCCCTGGGCCCTTTGATTCCTGGAACCTCAGCATCTTTTGCAGTCCTTCTCACTGAGTGTCTCAATAGAGAACAGTCTCTCAGTCACAATGGAAACACACAGAACAAGCTAGTAACGATGCTACGATATGTTTAAAGAGTTTAATGTGTACAAACAGTGGGGGGTAGCTTGTGGCTCAGAAGGTTAAGCATCTGTGCCTCTCATCGGAAGGTTGCCGGGTCAAGCCTCGGCAGAATGATCACGTCCCCCATTGGTGCCCTTGAGCGAGGCCCTTAACCTCCCCCCAAAATATTCCAAGGACATGCATGTGTACCTCAGAAGGACAGCAAGATGGGATTTGTAAGAAGAAACATTAAAATGTACTGCAGACAGCAAATAAAGGACCATCTCTTAATTTATAAGAATACTATCTACATCTACTAAGTAAAATTTACTTGTTTTTTTCCCCCAAAATAAAACTCAAAAAGCCATTTCTGCAAAGTGATACAAGGACTATGTTTGGCCTGAAAATCAAAAAAATGAAATGATGATGGCCTGAAATGAAATTTTGTCAAAAACAATGAAAGATAACATTAAAATTAACATTAACATTAACATTAACATACAGCTCTAGAATAAAAAATATGAAACCACTCTATACTTTTTAAATATCTGCGTTTTTAAATCCTGGTTTAATCCTGGTTCTGCTGGCAGAGGGTTACAATGAGAGGCAGGTTGCTGCCAGGCTCAAATATGCTAAGACAGCAGTAACCAAGAACAAAACGAAGAGGGCAGAAGCAACTTTCTAATGCCAGAGATGACTATCAACTTATCCGGCAGTGCCTCATAAATCGGAGGATGACCTCAAGTGACCTTCAAATGGAATAGGAAACATTAAGCGTTGTGCAGTGCGCTGCTGGGACAGTTCGTATCAGGGCTCCTAGAAGCAGGACTGAAGACCCATGAAGCAAGGGGAAGCCCTTCATCAATGGGAAGCCCTTCATCAATGGGAAGCAGGCGAATACCCATAACTTGAAAAATGAGCAAAACTGAAAATTTTGCTGTGTCTCTTGTTTTTCCAGAGTTGTAGGTTACTGAAGAGAGTCATGCTTATTTAGTCAATATTGTGCTCATTTTAAATAGTAGATAAAATGTGATATTGCGATGCTTGCAGTTTTTTGTTTAAGAACCACATTTAACTTTTGTGACAGTAGGTACTGTGTAATGTGCAGCAGAAGACAGCACTATTCTAATCACAGTTTTCCTAACTGAATTCTGATTTCAATCATTACCAGATTATACACAACTACAGTTCACTTAAAAAAAGATTATTATGGGCCACTGAAAAGCACTCCAATCCACAAGAATAGCTAGAGTGCAAGAGCTCTTTATGAGTGTCAGGAAGGGACTGTGAACTTTGAGGCTTGCTAAAACTCATTACTAAGAGATTGCGATGACTGTTCCCATCTGACATTTCCCACCAAGTTCTTCTCTGCCTTTATTCACATGTGCAGAAAATGATAACACTGTTTCCCAAGCCGGTCCTCGGGGGCCCCCAGAAACTCCACATTTTCACTCCCTCCCAGCTAGTTACCTGGACTGTCTGGCAGAGAGCTGGGCGGGAGCAAAAACATGCACCGTCTGGTGGGTTGGGAAACACTATTATAACACATCAAACACCACCATCATAATAAGAGGCAATCATGTATATTTTTTCTCTCTATTCATTTGACTTTCGGTTTCAAATGTACATGGGTCATGTAAATTTATCCTTTATAGAGTTTTAATATTGGATATTGCCCCACTGGTCAATCACCTACCATAAAATACACTGAAAAGCACTACATGTAAATGTGTGCAACCTGACTTCAACTGTACACCATACACACAGCTACAAAGTACCAAAGAAGTTTCCCCCTTAAAAAAATACATCAAAAATTCTGATATTCTCTATAAGTTTCAGATGCCTCATAAATTTGTTCATTCCTGCCCTAAGAAGATTTACTTTCTTAGGTTTTCAGTGTGTTGCACCAAATGAAATGCAAATGGTATGCATTCCAAACAGACATTTATCATGTCGCATTGGAAACTCTTTTTTTTTTATGCAATATGGCTATAAGAACAAAGGGAATCATACACATTTTCAATTTCATTCTGCTGTTTATCTTCCTACTGTTTGTACAGGGTTGCCTCTATCATTAAAACCCCAATACGTGAGAAATGCCATTCCGTCCCATTTATGCTCTGTGAAAAGCATGGCTACCAAACATGTCCAGTGGAGGAAAAAAACAGATCTTGCAATGGATTATGTGATGTGTTGTCTGGTTCGCATCAAATGCTGTACTAACAAGCTGCTGGAAAGTCTTCGATTCCGTGCAAGCTCTCGCCTCTGACGTGAAGTCTCTCTGCATGATTAAATATCGATATTGATTGTAGTTTTTTTTAATGACCACAACATAAGCAGACAAGCTGCGTGTCTGCATAAATAAAGGGAACAGATGCAGTCAGTTCCGGGGTGTACTGCAGTGAAAAATGCGACACATTGCATTTCTACTGAGGGATGCAACCCTGCTGTGCCTGAATCTCCCTGCACCGTCTACATCTTCCTGTGTAATGTGTCTTCCTTGCATTTATCAAGCCGCTATGAAGATGCATATGTGTGCATGTGATTTTCGCAGAGTATGCGATGCACTGGGAGATTAACAGCAAAATAACAATTGTGGCGTCACAATATACAATTCAGGCCCAGTTTGTCTCCTTGGTGTCCTTCATTTCTATGCCAATAATCGTGGTCTTGACCTTTATTTATTGTCACTTTGGAACGAATATTCAATGAGACATGAATGAATGAGGAGTAAGGAGACTCGAAGGGGCGACTGCTCAACATGGCTCTCAGTAAACATTTATAAGCACTGTTTCGGTTTTTACAGACATCAAACTGTTCCCATCATGCATGTGTTCTGGAGGCCTGTTAAATTCTCTTTTGAATATATCCATCCATCCATCCATCCATCCATCCATTTTCTATACCCGCTTGTCCAAAACCTATCCCAGACGGTTATAGGGTACAGGCAATAACCCAGGATGGGGGGCACACACACCTTTCATACCTACAGGCATTTTGGGAACTCCAATTCACTGGGGGGGGGGGGGCTGTGACGACACAGGAAGAACATGCAGACTCCACACAGGTAGAGCTGGGATGGAGACCCTAGCCCAAGTCCCAGAGGTGTGATCATCATCATCACCATCATCATCATCTATTATTATTATTATTGTTTATATGTTCTTTATTCTCAGACCCACAGAGAATTTTACATTTTATATGTTCGTTATAATTTCACTTCATCCAAGACATGAGAGCAGCACCAATAACAGATCCACTACACGATATCTAAGTTATTTCATCACTACTTTTTGGAAGAAAATGGACAGTCTATCACAATTATCGCTAATTGCCCTGACAACTGAAGCGGTTCCGATTTTTGGAAAAATCTCCATTTCACACGGAATGACGGTTATGACTGTAATTACAGTCATCAGATAGGAAGGAGTGCTTATGAAAATGTATATGTGACGAGAGAGCTAGATTAACTGGGTCACTGTCACAGCACCTGTGGTCTTCAGCCTTACCTGTCCCCAAATTGCGTCATTTAACATCTAGCCATGCATTCTTTTCAGAACATAACACAGATGAGTCACTTTGGGGGGAAACACTTCAATTGCACTTATTCTGTCTTCATAACACTTCAATCATTGAAATGTATTAAGACAGCTATTTACATTACCAACACAATCATATTATAATTTTGCACTATTCTCTCCCTCTCCCTGTTACACACACACATACAAACTCTGCCTCAATGCACCGCTCCTCTGTAAGTTGTTTCCCAGCTACAGTGTCCCCAGATGTCTCTCCTTTACAGTCTGAATGCAGAACAAGACAGAAGCAGGTTTTCTATTGCAGAGACGTCTTTAAGCCCCTGCCAATGTCGCCCACACATTTACAATGGGATAATTTGACTTCCTTCAGCTCTCCTACCTAATGATAATCAAAACCAGAATATACATCATTTTTGCAAAATAACTCAATAAAGCATTTACTCGAAGAACGTTTTCTTTGCAGCACTGGACATTTTGCTGCAGCCTGAGTGGGTTTTCTTTCTGCCTGTACCAATTATTTGAGTTGACAACAGCTCCATCTGTGCAGAAAATGCCATCTCAACTTTGATTCCCAAGCCAAGCATGTCAAATTACCGAGCCTCCGAGACCGAAGCACTGCCTATCTCCCCGCCAGACTGCAACATGCACGGTACGGTGACCTGCGTGGCAAACCACAAAAACACGGGGTGTGGTGCCAAGGGGGGGCACATAAGAACAATGGGGTTAAAAGTGGGGTGAACCGAACAAACAGGGGTGCGGCAGAAGTACCACAAACACAAGTGTGGTGAACCAAATGACCGGTGCTGTGACAAAATATGAAAAGCGCAGGGTTTAATGCGTTGAAAAAACACACAGCGTGCTAAAACCGAAAGAAAAAATAAAACAAGGCATGGAATAGAGTGAAAAACGTGTGTGGGGTAAAGTGTGAAAAACATAGCGTAGAGGACCAAACAAACAGTGTGAAAAAACACAGGGTGTGGTAAACTGGAGTGATAAACTGGACTCAAAGAAGGCGTGGCTAAAAAAAACAGTGTTGAAATCAATGCGACAGGCTGTAGGCAGTAGGCCAGTGCTGGGCTGTGTTTGAGAAGCTGAGAGGTTAAACTCCACAGCCTCGTTACATGAGCTGGCCTTCTCTGTGAAGGCACAGTAGTGTAGACAGCCTCCTGTCAGACGACAGTAATGAAGGCACACAGAGCGAGAAGCTCACCTGCTCTTCAGGTGCTGGATGCTGCCCAGGCACTTAAAGCGGCCGTTGACCATGATGGCCATGCGTGTGCACAGAGCCTCACACTCCTCCATGCTGCAACACACAAGGCACTGCTTACATGCTGTTACTCCACATAAAGGGCTTACATGCTGTTACCTGTACTATACCACAGCTGTGGTCATCATGTCTACATCAGTATTTCTCAAAATTGTCCTCGCGGACCCCTATACTGCCCAGATTTTTGCTACCTTCCAGCTGGGAGCTGGGGGGGAGCAAAAACATGGACAATCTGAGGGCCCTTGAGGACCAAATCGAGAAAAACTAATCTAAAACACACAGTCGTCATTATTACGACTGAATAACTGACGCATGATGAGCTCAGTATAGTTACATATGTTCTTCATTAGCTAAAATGTCGACTTCTGGGGACAAGGTTGTTAAAAGCTCTTTATTATCTGCCCGATAATAACGGAATCTGGAAGCTCAAAGCAACATCGCCCCCTGCAGGTCACTGTGAAGCACTGCGGATGGACATAGGAGCTCACCTGTGAGAAGTGAGGATGACAGACCGGCCCTCCTTGATCACGCTGAGGATACAGTTCCAGAGGAAGCGGCGGGCCTTGGGGTCCATCCCCGTAGTGGGCTCATCCTGCAAAGGCCCATTGTTAGCTCTCGACAGAAAGGACAGGCCAGCATTGTCGACTCTCCATTTCGAGACCTCTCTCTGCTCTTAGCTCCACAGTGACTTGCTGCGATCCTCTGTGAGACACTCTTTGGAGAGCTTTATGGTATTGAATTGAGGCTGTGGCTGCACTGTATGACACTTACCAGAAAGACCACTGGGGGGCACCCTATCAGCGCCATGGCGGTGGACAGCTTGCGCTTGTTGCCTCCGCTGTAGGTCCCGGCGGACTTATTTGAGTACTTCACCAAGCCGAGCTTCTGAATGCCCCACTTGGCCACCTGAAGGAGAGACAGGGATGCATTCTGTCATATCACCCTGTGGCCTGACAGTGGCTGTCCCCTGGAACTCATTCAGGGTGTGCAAAAGAGGGCACAGGCCTTTAAGCTTAATGTTGCTAGTTACTGTCCCAAGGGGAGTGTCATCTGCAGAACCATGGAGCAAGAGACTGTACATGAATTTCTTCAGTAAAACTCTAAGCTACATATCTATTTGGAGCAAGGTGACGGCTAAAAATGAAGCAACAATCACAAACTGAGTTTTTATACAGTACATGCTTTAACTGTTCGTATGTCTGAGACCAGCTCTTCTTGGCCTAGCACCCCCCCCATCCCCCCCCACCGAGCGTTTCATCTTGAGAAAAAGAAAAATCATCAAAGAGTCATCACGGAAGGGTTCATCTTCACATCACTTTATACAAAGTGATGGCGGATTTCCACAAGGAACATGTGGCCAAACTGGATTACATCTCATTATATGGAGGCTTATACAACCTTATGATGGTGCTGAAGAGTCAGACCTCTTCACTAAGGAGGATGCGACTCAGTTTCAATATACAGGAAATTAAACTATTTTTAACGCTTCATTTTCCATTTCCAGAAGTACTTCGGAATGCTTCTCTTCACACATCCCATTATGCTCTCCTTTGAAAAGTAAGCAGGCAAATATACAGTTGACAGTGGAGCTTGGGGTCTGAGCGCAGGGCCAGGCCCCCCGGGAGCATTTTTTGGGGGATTATGAGCCTTGCTCCAGGGCCCAAAGAAAATGTCATTATTCACATTCACAGTATCCTGCAGGGGGTGATGTTGTTTTGAACCTGCAACCTTGTAACCTGTACTTCATAAATAACTGTGTACTGTACCCTGAAGTGTGTATAATGACCCATAAGGACAGAATAAGTGCAAATGCACACATGCATAGTTGAGGCACCTGCTCACCATTTTAACTTCCTTCTCTGGTACTCCACGAATGCGTGCATAAAACTCCAGGTGCTCCTGGCCAGTCAGAAGATCATCTATGGCGTCAAACTGTGGGCAGTAACCCATGTTCTGATGGACGTCTGTCATCTGTGTACGGATACTGTCAAAGAGCACACATTCTGGAAATTAGGCCTTTCATTATATCCGTGTACAGCACACACAAGACCCCTGTGGAACAGAGAGCAGCAGAATCAAAAGCATCTATGTTCTGTATATGGCTGTAGAACACACAACTGTATAGGGACCTGGTGCACACTTATGTCAATACACATACAGTAGGGTGTATGGCTTGGGAACACACCTTAGGTTATAGCGGTAAGCGGGAATGCAGCCACATCCCGCTAGCCCTTTTGGAAAGGTGGAGGGCTCCTAACAGCTCTTCTGAACACAGGAATTTGAGAATTGTGCTTTCATTTTCACCTAAATTATTTTTGACAGAGCATTCTTGAATGCCACCCAAGACGCGGCGCACATTGAACGCGTTACTATGACAACGTCTCGACCTGAAAAAGTTCTCGCAGAACGAATTCTACAGCCACTAGAGCCTCTGGCTGATCCAAAGACACAGCAACCGTCACATGGAGAGGGGATAAAAAAATCTGCCACCATAAAGAAAGAGAGAAAGTCAACAGCAAGCTGTACAGCAATTGCATTTCTGCTATGAGATTCGAATTTGGCTTTACTAGAGTGATAAAAGTGTCCTGATCACGTTAAAAGGGGAAAGAAATCAAGTTGGTTGGAAAATTAAGGAGATCCACTGGATAAGAGAATTATAAACATTATGTAAAATTAAATCAGGTTCAAAGACTTCCAGCCGCCCACCCGCTCGTCCTCCCGTCCAAGGGTGCAAAAATTTATCTTCTGATTTACTTCTTTTTAAGGCACACTGGCCATGGTGAGGAGCAGCTTTAGCGCTAACCCTCCAGGCAACGTACGTTTTCATGCAGAAATCAGAGCAACTATACTGCCTCAGTACATCTCTGATGTCAATTTTGGCACAATCTGACCCGGTTTTACCATAACTGACGTTGAAGGCCTATCTCTCACTGGACTTCATTAACTGCAATTACAGCATAAAAGGGAATTTGGCCTACATCATGATGAAGACGGGACTAGAAGGAAAATATGTCATCCACTGATTTTGTTATGGTAGCGTTATTGTCAAGAGTAGGATATCAATATTAAGCAAAACAAATTTTTCTCAATTTTGAGTGATCTTGACCGAACACAAATCAGACAGATGCACAGACCTAACGCTCGCTGTGAAAATGAATGCTGACCGTTCATCATTCCACTGCCCAAACTCAGGCGATCGCAGTAACTGTTGACTTCATACCACATCAGTTAACATTAACAGCAATGTGAAGGCCTTGAGATTTTCAGTTGGGTCCTTTGTTGATCAGAGCCAGAGAATAGCTTCATGAAAAATTAACTATGGCAACAGCAGTATGCTTCGAAACACACTGGACCTTAGGGTGAAGCTGGTCTAGGAGAACTGGAAAGAATTAGTGAGGGCAAATAATAATGTTGCCATGGAAACGCCTGCCCAAGAATATTATGGAAAAAAAAACAAGGCCTTTCAGCTAGGTGAAGATGAGTTGAATAAGCATGGGAGTAAGCAGCAGAGCCCAAAACATCTTCTGCTGGATTTGTATTAGTGTGAGGAGAACAAAGAGAACAAGAGTCTACATTTAGTGACAGGACCCAAACTCTGATTGGTTAATATATCTACCTGTAACCGTTCAAGAAGGCATCTCCGCTGGAGACTGCGATGTCCCCCGTCAGCATCTTGAATGTGGTCGTTTTTCCAGCTCCATTTATACCCAACAAACCAAAGCACTGTAGATAAAGGGGAAAAACAGGACTTTTACAATGCAGCTGATTATGCAGATATGCAGGCGGAGAGACACAGATTAACGGGGGTGACTGTAGCATTGTGGCTGAGTGCATCTGAGGTGCACAACCACATCATCAGGTCTGCAGAGGAGACAGTGGAGGCTCTGATCAGCAACGATGATGGAACTGCATACAGACAAGAGTCAGAGTGAGCAGCGGCGTGACATGCGGATAACGACCTGGCCCTGAGTGTGGAGAAGACCGAGGAGATAATAACAGATTTCAGGAAGCCCAATATGGTAGCCTCCACTAAACATCAATCCACTGTGAAAGTGGTAATATGTGTACCCCAAGATCCTTGGAGTAGACATATCAGATGACCTGACATCATCTCCCAGTGCCCACCTCCTCTGCCATCTGAGAAGACCAACCCCAAACCCCCCCTCCCCCCCAGCCCAGTTCTAGTGACTTTCTACAGAGGAACCATAGAGAGCTTCCTAAACAGGTGCGTTACTGTCTGGTACAGGAATTGCAAAGTCTCAGACTGCAAGTCCCTCCGACAAATGGTGAAGGCAGCAGATAAGACCATAGGAACCTATCTACCTACCCTTATGGACATTTATATTAACAGCTGCACAGCAGAGCCCACTCTATCACATGTGATCCCTCACACCTGTCATACAGCCTGTTCATCCTCTTCCGTCTGGAAAAAGGCTCCGGAGAATTCTGGGCACCACCACCGGGCTCTATAATCATTTTCCCCCACAGGCTATCAGATTTCTCAGATGTGTTCGAAATCACGTACTTGCACAGCACCTACTGAATTTCATTACAAGCGTACTACTCAACTGTTAATGAAGTATATGCTGTATGTATGCATAACAACATTATATATGTACCCAGTATGTATGCACCCAAACATTGCATACTGTATATATGCACCGAGTATATATGCATACAGTATGTATGCACCCAGACATATTGCATACCCGGTAGTTTACCAATGATGTAGCTTGACATATTTCAGTCAACTGGGTACCGTTTTCTACTTAAATTTGTACAGAGAGAGCACTTCCTCTGCCATCTTGAAACAAACTCTTGAGCAAGTGGCATTCTGTGCCTCTGGTTGTAGCTCCAGTGGTCTTATGGGATAGTGTAATGTCCACCAGTTGCACACCTTTAAAATTTCATAATTGTAGTATGCAGTATGTAGCATGCAGTATGTCATCCGATTAGTTTGCCGACTGTCCCCTCTGTACTGAGGATTCAGACATACTGCTCACTTAGCACATTATATTTCACCTACTACATAGCTAACAAATATGTGATTTCAGACGCGTCTACCCACCATATAAATGTTGGGAAAACGCACATTTATTTCTGCCATTTGCACGGCCTACTGCCTAAACCACTGTTCATTGTTGTTGTCATTGATGTATATTTCTGTGTAATGTTTTATTTTATTTTATTTTTATTCTTATTTGCGCCCCCCCCCCCCTCCCAGGCCAGCATTTATTGCTGAAATGTATCTTGTCCTATAATCACAATATCATTTCATGCATGAAACGGCAATAAAGTGGCTTGACCTGAGAATCCTTTGAGTCTGGTACATGAAACACTTTAGTAAAAGTGAATTTGCACAAAAGGGTGAAAATGGGAAAAATCTGCTGATTTTTGAAGCTGTCGTTGTCAATACCAGCACCAGCAATTTTAACCAGCATAGGAAATAATTTTCATGTCACATTATCAGTTTTAGCTCTGATTCCTTCACTTTAAGAAGAAGGTTTCGCACACCACACTATATTTTGGCTTTTGTGTTAACTTTTGCAGGCTGGTCCATCTCAGCATCAGGCATCGCACAGGCTGCAGTGACGCAGGAGGACCAGTGACAGTCTGGAACCGCTGAGGCTGATTGACGCATCAGGTTTATAACAGGGTTGATTGACACCGAGAAGAGGTTAACGCTCCATCACTGTACACGCCACATTACATGGCAAGCATGCAAAAATCTCATAGGATTCCTGGAACGTAAACAGGTTAGAGATTTTCCATTAAAAAACATCTTTTGGATTAAATAAAAAAAATACCCCACCAGTTCCAAGGGGATTTGCGTGTACGTGAAAGTGAATAAGCCTTTGTTGCTTCCCCGAAACTTAAAAAGCAGCTTGGTATTCTGCACGCCTGGGAAGATGCTCGTGTCAGCTACCACAAAGTGCTCTTTATCCTGGCTCCACATCTTTCAGAGCAAACTGCCACACACCACGTGCCTTTCTCAATGCTGTATTAAGAGCGCTGCCCCAGCCTAGCTGACATTTAAAGGTGTATCGCAGTGTTTCCCAATCTGGTCCTTGGGGACACCCAGAAAGTCCACATTTTTGGTCCCTCCCAGGGAGCAAATATGTTTACTGTCTGGGAGGGAGCAAAAATCTGGACTGGCTGGGGCTCTTCAGGGACTGGATTGTGAAACGCTGATGCATTGCAATAAATCATCATTGAAAATTACATAAAAAGAGAAGTGACGCACAATGAACTACAATGGTGTAAGAAATCAAGAGTCTTATATATGATTATATATCTGTTATGCTTTGTTTTGCAAGCTTTTATGAAGGATGGCTGCAGAAAATGCTCCGTGCCCCATGGTAATGGGTTCCTGAGTAATGTAAAAGTGCTAAACTGCTTGGAGTTAATTGACATGCCAATGCATACCACGTTCATCTACCCTTTTCCCCAATGAACATCCAGGTGAAATGCCATGGCGGTATACAGGTAATTAGCCTGAGACGGATGACATCATTTAAATGACATTGAGTGTATTTATTCAATTCCAAATGCCAAATTTAAGATGTATTTTGCTCACTATCCCCTAAAAAATGGCAAATAGGAAATAATGGTAACATAACAAAAATATAAATATATATATCAAAAAGTTGTGGTTACGCACCCAAGCTACATAGTCATCCTGGTTCATATGGTGTTATAGTTGGAAGTATGGTATAAAGAATATTAAGGAACTCATGTTAAACCTATGGAGGCAGAAGAGCGAGGCCTTGTGATTTCGTGTGGAATTAAATATCGTGTGACGGCGCGCGCACACACACACACAGCCACTGAATATTTCATTCATTTCCATTCATCGATCTATTCTTGTTTGTTTACGTAGAGAGATTTAGATCACAGCAGCGCTCACTCGATGGCAATAAGCATCCCACTAAATAATGTATGACAGATGCTGAAGAACCACAGCTACCCGGCACATTATTCCACTGACATTTATATGAATATGGCATAAACAGGAAAATGAAGATGCAAAGATAGGCCCCATATTCATGTCAACAATGAGGGGATCATGTATAAGACACAATTGATAAAAATGCTAAAAATATTTCCTTCCTGCAGTTTCATCCCACTTGATTTTTCCTCATTCCTTTTTTTTATTATTATTATTATTTTTCAAACGTGTGTCAGTCATAAAAATTAGTTCTGCGTTATCCATCCATCCAGCCTTATGACCAGTTACTCTGCGCACATCTTACGAATACATTTTCCTCTGTAGAGGAGTTCCGAGTGCACCAGTGGCCAAAATTGTGGAAACGGGTAGCTTTTTTGGCATTACGCTTTAACAATTACTACACGAATATTGGCTGTAATGTTTAGAAACAATCAAAGAATGTTACGAATATCATACATTGGATGATTAAATAAGTAACTGGAGCAACATCTGAATAAAGTTCTGCCAACTAAAAAAGTGTTTCCACGATTTTGGCCACTAGTGTAGATGATCCTGTGTAGTTGAATTAACAGCAGATACCCTTGTATCAACGTGCTTTGACATGCCTTATTGGGGAGGCGCTCTCTCACCTCAGCAGTAGGTACCCCCATGCATATCCCATCCACCGCTGGCCTCTTCTTTCCGCGGTAGATCTGCAGGGGACAGAAGGTCGGGAGCTTGAGGGCGTGAAGGTGACTACATGAAATACATCATTTCAGCTGCCGTGTTTCTACTTGGGGGATACAGGATGGACAAATGTAGCCAGGGAGAAAGAGCCTACCCTCAGCCAGGGATTGTTTCAGTTATAATGGTGGCCTTCATTGTTCATCATTGCCCAGGTGACCACATTTAGACCAGAATAATCTATTCACCTATCAGAGCTGCCCACACAGGCAGACAGTTCAGGTCCAGAAAGTATAAATCCAGACCAAGATTTTGTTTCAAGATTCAAAGAACTTTATTAATCCCAAAGGGAAATTGCTTTGTCATGGTTATACAGTTGCTCTGATTAATTTACTGGGAAGAAAGGGAAAAAAAAAACTAACCAACTAGAGGTGAACTATCCACCCTCTTGTTGCCCAGTCCTATTAATTTTTACTTTTCATCACAAACCCATAAACCAGGGTTTGTGATGAATCGCCAAATTTGACTGATTTGAAGGTGTTACATAAGACATGGAATACAAAGACTAAAAAAGGTCCCAAAGTTGGTACAAGAAATGATTAGGAAAAAGAATTATACAAGTTAATGTTTCTCAAAGGTATGTCTCAAAATATTCATTTTTAAAGTTCCCATACTTTGTCAGATATAGACTGAATATTGACTCAATGATGAATAAATGATGAAATAGTGTAAAGGTTAATGTGCAGGTTATCTATGTACATGTTCAGTATATATGATCTGGAATTCTGTAATAGATCTACATTTATAGGTCTGAAAAACTTTATTCTTTATTCTTTTTTGTCAGTTTGAAGGTGTGATGTGGAGTCCTTCAACTACACACGGTCCTACAGAAATCCAACACCATTTTTCTAGAAAAAAAAAAAAATCCTCAGTTTTAACAGTTTGCTTAGTCCTTTCGTCGCAACAAAAAATATTTTCAAGAAGTCACTATTCTGGTCAGGATGTGAATCCTGAAGCCATAGCTAGCTCAGAAAAAAAATGGCTGCAGAAAAAAACGGCACAGCTTGTGTACTGGCCTGACTTTGCGTATCTGTTTGTCGAGGGTGTGGTGAAGGACGTCCGGTCGGGACTCGACACCACCGCCTACCGGCTGCCGACATGCTCTCCCTCGGCCTCCGGATGTGTGGTCAGGTGCCACAAACAACCTACAGAGCTGCCTTGCTACACTGTCAGAAAAATGAGCACCAATTTGTACCTTTATTTGTCACTCGGGCTGTACCCTCAAGGGTAAAGGTACCTCTTAAGATACAGATACGGACTATGAGTAACGTTTTTGTACCATTTTGTTGTTTGCACCTTGGGGAAGCTCCTCAGAGTCCATTTCTGTACCTTAAATTAGACTAAAAGGTACATTTACCTACAATTAGGGTACAATTGGCAGACCCTTGAGGGTACAGCCCCAGTGACAGGCAAGGGTACAAATTGATACTATTCTGACACTGCATGCATGAAGCAGGGTTACTTCCTTTCCACTGTTTAAGCATTAATGTTTTAAGCTGTAGTCAAAGTATAACATTCTACAAAAAAAAAACATGTTTTTAAGAATGCAAAGTAGATTTATGTTTTAATAAAACACAGACTTATGTTTTAACATAGCTTCTTTCAGATCAGCTATCGTCATTAAAAACCTTTAAAAATCCACATTTTGGGAGGAAGGCTACTCGTATGGCAGGTTTAAACATTTTTTTGTCACTGCAGCTGCAAGTTACATCTGGTAATTAAACAATCATAGCTGGCAGGAAAGTAGAGGACATAGAGGAGATGGAGGAGAGGCATTGCTGCTTCCCAACGATACTCTGTTGCTATAATTTTTGACCTACCTTTGAAATTTATTCGCCTCTTTCACTGGAATGTTTTCTGGAGTAATTTTTTGTGTATTTGTTTCAGAAAAGTCGTTTCTTATTACAGTGCAGGGAAATTATTAGGCAGGCCTCCTAGAATAGCAAGCTGCATGTAGCTATTTGTTAATAAAAGCTTTTTTTCGTTTCTACATTAAAATTTAATTGCACTATGAATATTTTAATGATTAGCTATGTTAGATATATCTATGTTATTGAAAATTGATATTATTGGGAGGGGGAGCAAATTCAAAACACACACAGCTGTTATACAAATGTTAAGTTAATAATTTTGCTTGTGTATTTTTTTAGAAAATATGCATGTTTTAAATCTTGTATACATCAATAGTTCATTAAATCTATAAATGAAGGGTTAATGCATAATAAGTCACAGATATTTTGGTTGTAGTACTTGTGTGAGTTAGAGATTTGAGAGTAGTGATGTCAAACAAACTAAACTCCAATCAGGCAACCACAGCACAATCAGAGCTAGATAAGATTTTAACAACTCTGAGCTATTAGTTAAGTTCTCCCCAAACGAGCTTGATGGGCTGAATGGCCTCCTCTCGTTTGTAAATTCCTTATGTTCTTAAATATGTCCCTTTATATTATTGCCGGCGTATAATGCAATAGGGACAGCTTTTTCCAAGTCTGTGCTAATGTTAGGAATCATACTTTCGGAGTTTCTACATATATTTTTTCACTTTTTTTAGCAGACACTTTTGTCCAAAGCGGCATACAAGTGAGGCTAATAGTACAAGACAAACATCCATGTTCTCGGGGAGTCGACTAGGCATAAATACAGCTAGGCTGAGGTACCAAGTACTAGTGTAAGCAGTATTGCAGCATGAGCAACACAACAACTTCTAACTAAGCAAGAACCCAATAATGACTATTCAAGAACCAGAAATGCAACATTAGGTACATAGTAGAAAAAATTGAAAGCCATCAGGGGTGCATTTCCCAAAACCACGTTAGCAACTTGCGTGGTTCGAACTATGTAAGTATGACGCAGGTGTTTCCCAAAACCATAGTTCGAACTACGGAGGTAACGACGCTGCGAACTTACGTAGTGCGATGCATTGTTAAACGACGCAGGTGTTTCCCAAAACTATAGTTCGAACGAATGTTCGCAAACACTGTCATTAAGTTGCGTAGTTCAAATTACAGTTCTCGAGCTGTAGTTAGAAGCTTAGTTCCGGGTAAATATGTCAGCGATGGTGGTAAATGCAGTCTAAGAAGGGTATAGTCACCGTGAGAAGAATTTACCGTAAGAAATTTAATAATCTTTAATACCTAATAAGGAATAATTTAGCTCTACGATCACATATAAAGTGAAGTTGTCTGAAAATGTAGTTTGAAACGTAATTGTGTGGGTCTCTGGTCATAAGTAAGGTATGATTGTATATTAGATCGACCAAGTCGGCAACTGTCTGTAGTGAGCAACAGGGTGAATTCTCAGACTGCAAAGAATTGTATTAGCACAGCGGTGGCAAATTTTATGCAGAAAGGGCCATTAGGCATGCAGCTTTTCGCTCCAACTCCTTACTTAAAGTAGTACATAGAGGACTGATCGACTTGCACACAACTGATCGAATGGTTATCCCCAAAAAACCTGCAAACACACCAGCCCTTTCTGGATAAGATTGCCCACCCCTGTAGTAGCATATGCAGTTAGTGTGTATTAGTGTAGTGTAGTGGTAAAATATATTGTGTACTCAGTGGTCATTGTGCCATATGGTACACTTCGCCACATATAGTAAAAAAATAGAGAAATAATTAAAAAGCATTAATAAAAGAAAAGAAATAAAACCCAATAATAATAAATCATTATCCCTTGTATGTGTACATGTGTGCATTTGTAGCCCTATGCAGACCATTGGATGTTGTGCAGTTTCTTCATTACACACATAACTTCAGAGGGACAACAGAAAAAGTACAGCACTTTGATGAAGTACTCCTTATTCACTGACAGAATGACACTACAGCGGTCAGATACGAATCCATGCCTTTGTACTCAGGAAATGACGTCTGTGATGTTTGGATTTTACACGCACCTGTCTATTCCAGTCAGCCACTAACATTCTGTAAGAGACAACGTCGGACCAGGAATTATAAGTGTTCGTAGTGTGACTGAAACACAATGAACTGCAATCAACGTAATTACAGATGGAACGTAGGTCACAAAATGCAGTGTCATAGCTAAAAGTTCTTCTGTTTACCACTCCTAGAAGCATCCCATTATTTTGCCGCTATTGCTATTTCATATTATTGGTGTTATGTGACTGACACAATATATTGATGACGTTCGAACTACGGTAGTCCCAACGAACTGTCATGGTTCAAACTACTGTGATACGACGGTTTTGGGAAACAGTCGTACTTCGGATGTTGGTTAGTTTGAACTACCATAGTACGATGCATCATTAATACTAACTTCCGTCGTTGTTTGGGAAATGCACCACAGGCTAGCAGGGGATTCCTGGAACGGATGACCTAGTGTCTATTTGCTAACATCTTTCAAGAAAAGATCCTGATGAGAAGCTCGCTTTCCTCTGCCCCTCAGAGACAGATTTGCGTGACACGTGACCCGATTCCCTGCGCCTCTGCTGTCGGATGCTTTCCAAAGAGGCGCCAAGGATGATGCTTCCTCAGTCCCCCATTCTTACTGCTGAGCTCGGTCATAACGCTGGATCACAGCTGTGCCCTGGAGATAGCGTGCTTATATTTACATGATAAAACGACTGCGGGAAGACCATAAACAGGAGCCCGTCATGCACGTGGGGCGCGCCGTGCAGCCGCTCCGTCTGTGTTCATTTCTTGTGTCTGTCGGGGGTGTACAAGCATGGAGGGTCTCACAATGAGCGAAGGAGGAACTAGAGAGACTCGGCATTCTGCGTTCCCATCTTCCTGCTGTTTAATGTGTGATCGCTTTCATCCGCAGTCTGGGCGAACTCGTTCTCGAAGTCGGGACCGAGCCTGAATTTCAAACCGGTGGCCCCATTCAGGAAGGGCCTTTTCGGGGAAACCGCAGACGCAGTTTGCATCGCAATGCAGCAAAAACAAAACGATGCCATTGAAACGGCCTCCGCAAACATCAGCCGCAAACAAATGGGCTGTACCGTCGAGCAGGATCTTCGCCAGAGAGACCTGGGACACACGGTTCCAGAAATAGCTGTTAAATCAGGAAACGGATCAGCAGCTCAGAGGCAAAAAGCAGCAAAAAAAAAAAATCCATGATCTTAAAGCAGGATTAACTGCTTTCCCATTTTCCAAGTTGAAGTTAGACAATTATTCTCTATCAAATCAATTATCTTGATTTAAAATTATTCATGCAATTTCTGACATACTTCAGATGTTTAGAAATATCCATATCCTTTGGAAGACGTATAAATGAGGTTACTTTATAGCAGCGAGCAACCAATTTTTTCCCCCCAAAATTACTTTCTTTTCATTACAAAAAAAAGATTACCATCACATATCTGCCTTGTTTTAGGATGACAGCCTCAAATTAAAACAGATATTGGGTTCCTGTGGCTGCATGTCAATTCCCTGGAATGGAAGGTTACATTAGAACTGAGAGGAGGGCTTTACTTCTGTGCAAAACTTTATTTATAAAAACGTACATACATTTCTGCATTGTCAGCATCTCTGGAGGTGGGGTTGCCCCCCCAAGTCTTTTTTTGTCGTTTTCTCACATTTTTCCACTTCCACACACTATTTTATCATTTAGTAATATTTTTAGGCCAAATATTTTTGGTAAAGCTTAGGAACTGTGTAATTAACGGCACATACATAAATAAACTGGACTGAATATAGAAGCAGATGTGAAATGAAAGAAGGAAAAAAGAAAAATAATGAATGTTAGGTATGTCTGCACTGGTCTGCGATTAATGAAGGATTCACCACCCCCCCCGGCTATGCGATTGTTGTTTATCCCTCAGCTGTCGCTCTCTTCAAGTGTAGTAGCAAGTAAAGCATTTGCAGGCACAAAAGAAGCCCAGAGTGACTGGTGACGAAGGTGTCACTCCAAGGGTGATCAGAAAATCCATGTCAGGGAGGACACTTTGAGCTTGGGCAGGATTTGCAAACTACCATTTCAATTATGTCATTAATGTGAAACAGCTGGATGAGTCTTTCAATCAAGGAAACAAAACAATCAAAGCACAGGAGCCTTTCAGTTTTAAAGCAGTTTGTAAAATCTGAAGTAGCTCTTAGTGTCCCTCCTGATAAGGATTCAGTGGTCACCCTACATCACTGTGCAAGACCATCACTACGGCTTCTGTGGTAGGATGGCCATTCTCAGTTGTGGGTCGTTCTTCCCAGCTCGGAACATTCCTAGGTTGGTGGGAGAGCCAAATATTTCTTAGCGGTTCATGTTCCATGTAGCGCATGGGCTGATTAAGGGGGGTATTATGAAGGTCAAATCGAACTTGCACAACTGGAATTAACACTGTGAGGATTCAGGTATTAGATGTTAAGTAAGCTGTGGTTCACAATATGGTTTATGGTCCCTAATAAAAAAGACCTTCAGAAGACTGGCCCAGCTAATAGGCTCAGATTAATTGTACAGGAGCTGAGAGAGTTTTGTGACTATTTTACATCAGTTTTGGCTTGGGCGTCAGGGTGTCTGTGGGCTGTTACATTACATTAATTCAGTTACCAGACTGTGTTATCCATCCAAAGTGGTTTACATTTTTTAGGGAGGGGAGGGTCAGCTAGCCCTGAGAGCAATTGAGGGTCGGGACCTTACTGAAGAGCCCAGCCCTGGGATTTGAACTGGCGACCTGCTGGTCAAAGATACAGCATCCGAAGCTGCTAGCCAGACACTGCCACCTCATTGGAGGTGGAGTCCTGGTGGGGGCTCCATAGATAGGACTGAGCCAATCAGGAAAGGGGCACCGCTAAGATGGAGAACTTGCGTTATCCGGTGATGCTGAGGTAAACACCATGAAGGACGAAGGATGATAACAACACAATCAAGCCATCTGTTATTCAAAACAGGCACTATTCTTCAGGAGTACAACTTGATTGCATCTATTGAAGAGAGCAGGAAATTCTTTTCGGTTATTCCTATTATTATATTTGCATTTGGGGCTTTTTGATTCCTTCTGGGAAAAATTATCGTAAATCGCCGCAGAGTTCTTTGCGACAGGTTGTGTATAAAATGCCCTACATTAAATAAAAATGGAAAGATTTATCGCACACCATTATCAGCTCCACAGAATAACTATATTCACTCAAAACAAAAGTAAGAGATCTGTTGAGCCCTGTTATTCATTTGGTACCCCACACGGCACAACACGAGGCTGATGTTTATTATCTAACCAAAAAGTACTTTGAGAAACTATCCTGCCAACTATTTTCTTGATAGTGCAGTGTGATACAATCGTGGCAGCAGCAGAATGTCCCGTGTTAAAGCATAGCTATTACCTTCGTTAGATCACACACTCTCAGAAGGTCAGTCCGGGCTCCCCCCTGGCGCACACGCAGCCGCTCTGCTGCCACGTCCATGTCCTCTTGCTCTGCCCTCTGCTGCCCCACCTTCACCAGCCTGACAGACAGAGGAATGGACCAATCATGAGAAGGTATAAAAAATGCCGATGTTCAGAGTCTGAGGAAGACAGTTCTGTCTGGTGGTTTTTATTAAAACGTATTTACCTTTTGTCTCAAAGTTCAGATAAGCATTGGACAACCTTCGCAAATAAAATGATAATTGGACAGCTTCCTTTGTACCACAGCCTTCTGTTTCAGGCATTCCTGTTCTCTATATGCTACAGTCTATTCTACGATTCCATTTACATCCCTCTTTGTTCTAAGACTGAGATCGTTTTTCTAAAAAAGCTCATCTGCATCTTTTCCTGCACGTTCTCTGTATCTGGATGTAAAGGTCTACTAATCCCAGAAACCGCGAGCTAATGAGATATCGCTTGCTTGATCAAAATTATTTACTGAATAGTTAACCATCAGGGTATTGTCATTAGGCTGATACAGCAATCTAATTCTGGAATTCAGTTGGGTGCTTGATCTTGAAACGACATTGAGCTCCTTGCCTGGGTTTGAAGAAGAACTTGTACTGGATGAGGAGCGTCAGAGTGAACATCAGGATGCCCTGGATGGCCATGGCACACAGGTTCTTGCCCACCATGGCCCAGCTGAGAGGATTCTGGAAGCGATCCTCTCCTGAAGTTGGACAGAGAACGGGGGTTATCTGTCTATTCAGCATCAAACCTCTGATGACCTTCCTGCTGCGACCTTCCAGAATACTCACAGTGAAGTAATAATCATAACATTCGCTGAATAAAGGACAATCAATATTTAAATCAAACTTTCAAAGGCACTTTGTGATGCTTTAATGAATTTCCATTCCATAATGTTACACTTCAAATGTAATTTGTCTCAGCAGCAAAATGCAAAAAAAAACACACAATATGTATTCTGTGACTCATTATTTATTTATGTTTTTTTGTTGTCTATGGCATTGGTGTCAGATTTGTTCCTGCCGGTGATGCTGGTAGATCACCCAAAAAAGCAAGCCTTATAAAAGGCACTGTAACTGGCGAAAATAAAAGATTTTTTTTCCCTATGCTTAGATAAGCCGAAGCCACTTTCGGTCTCATTCTGTGCTAAATAGGCCCTTTCTAGACAAGCCTTTTTACGTGGTGATTGCCTTCCTCTTGTGCTCCATACTGCAAATGATTCCTCAAATGGCAATTCTTTGCTATACTTCCACAATGGAAACACATTTGCTCCCCTGTCATGTTCGCTTCTGTACATCACCCTTCTAGTGAATGCCAGTTATGTCAAGTATTCGGCAATAGCAGGTTACAAAGGCCTCAATAACAAAACCCTAACCTATAATTCCACAATAAGCATGGCTCCCATTGTACAATATAATATTTTCACCATCTTTTTATCTCATGAATGTTACTTGCAGTATTTTTGGCCTCTGCACTCTCATTGACTCAGCTAAAGAACCAAGAATTTGCAGGACACTCACCGAAACTGATAAACAGTGTCGCCATGGCCTGGTTCTTGGCCATATCGATGAGCCCCCTTCCAAGGCAAAAGTGTGGGAAGATCAAGAGAACCTGCTTCACAATGTCGTTGATACGGGAAATGTTCTGTTGAGGAGAAATGGGGAAGTATCTTACGTTGACACGTTTGTCATAACACGATGGAACACCCGGGAGGGCACGTGAGGTTCTAGGATTTGCCTTGGGGAGGCTCTGGGGAGCTGGAAGAAGATAGATGCTGGGAAAAAAAAAGCTCAGTGAAGCTGTCAGAAGCTGGGGGAAGATGAGGAAAGCATATGGGAGAAAAAGACGGAAGCACACAAAGCAGGAGGAAAAGAAGACATAGAACATCCTATGCTTTGCAAAACTAGGGAATGCTGAGTTACGACTGGTATAGCTGACACACTCAGAGGGAAGCTGGGGTGATCGGGAGCACAGAGAGGAAATCTGTGGTGATCTGGAGCATACACCGGGAAGCTGAGGTCATCTGGATCACATATAGGGAAGCTGAGGTCATCTGGATCACATATAGGGAAGCTGAGGTCATCTGGATCACATATAGGGAAGCTGAGGTCATCTGGAGTAAACAGAGGGGAGCTGAGGTCATCTACATCACATGGATGGTAGCCGAGGTGATCTGTAGCTCACAGAGGGAAGCTGAGGTGATCTGGATCACACAGAGGGAAGCTGAGGTGATCTGGATCACACAGAGGGAAGCTGAGGTGATCTGGATCACACAGAGAGGAGCTGAGGTGATCTGAAGCATAGAGAGGAAAGCTGAGGTGATCTGAAGCATAGAAAGGGAATCTGAGGTGATCTGAAGCATAGAGAGGGAATCTGAGGTGATCTGGAGCACACAGAGGGAAGTTGAGGTGATCTGAAGCATAGAGAGGAAAGCTGAGGTGATCTGAAGCATAGAAAGGGAATCTGAGGTGATCTGAAACATAGAAAGGGAATCTGAGGTGATCTGAAACATAGAAAGGGAATCTGAGGTGATCTGGAGCACACAGAGGGAAGCTGAATGCCTGAGCTAAATTCTGAAATAATGCTTCTGCAATTATGACAAGAGTCATGGTGGCACAAATGCTACTGGAGGTAGAGTGAGATTAAACAGTCTCCGCATGAATATTCCTGCACAGTTTCATTACTAGGAATCTCACTCAAGGATAGCGCGTCTTCCTCTGCCTGCGGACTCATGGCAGCCACACTCAGGCAAACACCATTTCACACTCTACATGTGCCTGATAACAAAGCTAGCATCCATGCTCCCAGTCCCCATATCCTGAAAACGGCACAGTGCTCCTGTCCTTAGCTATGAACCGACAACTGATGGCGTGGCCCACAAAAATCCACTGGATTGAATAAAACAGAAACGAAAAGTCACATGTGACCGTCTCATCTATGAGATAAAACATAATATTGGCACTGAGTTATGAAAAACGCCGACAAATTCTGGGTCTTTGGCTTACCATTAAATCCAATACTGTATGAGCATCAGTTGAATAAAATCATGGGCGAACCTTCAAGATAATTTGTTAAACAGTCCAGTCTGGTCATGATGAATAGGGTGCATTTGGATTAAGATAATTAATAACAGTTGGGAATTATAGGTTACGTCACTAAACCTTAGTTGCATTGCTCGTAGTCTGCAGTGACCCACACAGCTTTGGTGTGAAGAAAGAGAAGAAGAAGGATCCACTCGGAAGGAAGGAACGAGGCTCTATCCTCTATTATTATCAGTCCCAAAAACTGAGTATCCAGTAATGGCTGGGTTAATAGAACAGGAAAGCAGATTAAAGAGTGTTAATTCAATGGTAATAATGTGGGATTCATTCCCTCACTGATCTTTCTAATAAACATCAATCACTACACAATTGCTACAAAGAAAAAGGGAAAAAGGTTTAAACAGTAGAGCTGATTCTGCGGAGTAGTTCCATGTTGCAGAATCACAGCTGAATATGGTACATCTGTTTCACTGCCATTTTTTGTTTTATTTACAGCGAAAACAAAGCAACAAGGCGCGTCACCCTGCCTAGGAAAAGCGGCTGGTTAAAAGATGAATGGATGAGCAAAGTATAAAAAGAGAACAAAATCAATGCTAACTTTACTGTTGAAGAGGTGACACTGAACACTAGCCTGCAAATTAAAAATTATGAAAAAAATAATAGTAAAAGGCTTTTATTTTCACTTTACCAATATTTTGTTTACAACTTATATATATAATAATAATAATAATAATAAAAAACTATCATACATTCTTTGAAGGGTGTTTTTTTCAGCGAACATTCATGTTGACCTTGGCGCTTGGCAGGAAAACAGAAGTAATGTTCTTATCTAGCACTGGTTTCCATAGTGACACCTGACTCAAATAACATGACATCATAGCACATTATAGGAGGATGTAAACCTTTATTTCTATACCTAAACACAAAAACTATGTTAATACGATAAAGGATGGTGGGTAGCATATTATCCTGCTGCTGTAATATGTACTAACTACTCCACCTGAAATGCTCAGTTAAAAATAGCCAGCTGTTTAAATGGATGGAAGCTTTTGCAGCCACAAAATATACACTAAAATAAATACGTGGAAAGACAAATGTACCTCATTCTCCATCTCGAGTGAGATATTTTTTGAGGTTATCCATGAGGAAGATGATCAAAATTACCCATATCGTCACCTTTAAAAAACTATTTAAGATTAAAAATTAAAACGTCATCATAATAAACATAATAATAAGATTAGATTATTAGTCTGTTTTCTGGACCAGAACAAAATCAGTGAAGAGGAGAGAACAGTCTAACACTTTCGTAGGTATGCGCATGGGGATGTAACTTAAAAGTTCCAGAAATACTCCACACTTCATAAAATGCATGATTAAATGAATTTAATAAAAATTGGTTATTTACTAACAAAAAAATGAACAAATATGTCACCGGTAATTCTGTCTACATGGTATTTGACAAGGGTATAATTTATAATGAAGAACTCATTGGCTGGATGTACAATACATGACATTGTCTTGTCTCTCTCTCTCTGCCCCCCCAACCATTATTATGATCTCGAAACTGCAGATCTGTGGCAGCTTTGCCTGCCTTTGCCCGTCCGCTGCCCGTCGCAGGCACCACGCGACTCACCGGGGTCACACCACGTCTGACACGGTCTCACGGACGAGACCAGCTCCATTTGATACAGGCAGAGGGAAGCAGAGAAACAGAGAAACGTACCCCCCAAGTGAAATGGGGGGTGGAAGGACAGCTTGGTTGCTCCTCCCGTTCGCGTTTTGTGTTTCCTTTCCCTGCCTCGACCAGCCGGTCAGCATCTTACGGACCGTGATTTTTGAAGCGGACTGGCTGTAACAACCTTAGGCCCCGGTTCGGGAATTCATGTTGTGCCAGACGAAATGAGTGACATGAGACTACAGTCCGCTGTGAGGACACTTGCCTCTGACATTTTCAGCCCTGATAATTCAGTTCAGCTGTGAGGCAGGCAAACAACAGACCCCAAAGCTTAACATGGGGAAATCTGTCAGCATTAAATCTGCAGAGTAGCTCTCTGGGAGCAGTGACTTCGCCTGGTGAACACGGTGCAGCTGACGTTAGCCGTATAATGGAAAGCAGCGCTGGGATCCTACTGCTGGCCGGGGTGACACCAGTGCTACCGTCTGGAGAGGGAATCGGTGACTTGACAAAGTTGGGCAGCCTGCTTTCTCATCCAGCCTGACAGCATCACGACAGGATTCTCCGCACGGTAAACAATGCCCTTGACAACTAATATGTAGTGGAGCTCTCTCATGAAAAGGCAGCAGTCGAGCACAAGTGTCCTGCCCGTACAAGGATGATGGTTTCACTGGGTTGTAAGTTCACTAGCTGATAAACTACGTATGCCTTCGATGAGAAGACATATTTACTGCAATGGGGACCAGTCAAAGGGTGTTGACCGTCACGCATTAAAGTTAACTTCAAAAAGTCAACAAAAACTGCACCTCCCACCCAATTAGCTAACACAGTTTAACCTAATTTTAGGGCACAGATACCAGGACTGCAACTATAACATAAAGTTCGGAGGGCGTCTTCTTTAGTAGATTGTGCCAAACAAGCAGTGGAAGCATATTACAAGGGGGGTTCACACTTGTAATTTTAGAATCTGGCTACTTGCCTGATCATTAGCAAACAAATTTCGTGATATGAGGGGGCGGAGATTCAAACCCATAATTTTACTACATGGCTACATGCCTATTATGTAGATTTTTTTTTTTCGGTAAAAGGTTCATACATGACACAGAGATGATATATTTTAGTGCAGGAAGGTGAAGCAGGGGGTTTTGTTTTGGGTATGAAGGGGAAGCGGGATGCTGAATTTGGAAGGAAGTAGAAAACTCCGAGACAGGATGTTCCTGATTCCTGGAGGAGAGGGAGATGCTAACAAGTTAACAGAAGAGGCTTGGTGCAGTTTCACCTTTAAAAACACATGGTGACACACCTTGGTACAAGGTGTAATGAAACCAACAAGTTCTAAAAACAGAAACAAACTTCAGGTATCTAAACAGCTCCTGAGAGCCAGAGGAAGAACAGTATGGGACGGAAAATTTTTTTTTTAAACCGTGTACCGCACCTGTCACAAAAAATTATTGCAAAGGATCAGTAAAAAATAGCATATGCACAATTATCTAATATATGATATTAAAAGGTTTAGAAAAGCGGAATCTGTAGTTAAGCAGTTATATGCTCTGCTTTTGTTTAGGTAAATTTAACCATTTGGCTTTTTGCCGTTAACTTATGCTTTACATTAAATATGTCACGAATATTTTTCTTGGAACACAGCAGGGAAAAAAAACCCAATAAACAAGGAAAACTGACAGCTCACCTCATCGTCAAACATCTCCATGACAAAGGTGGCCACGCTGCCATTAATGCCGATGAAGAGGTTGATGCAGGTGAGGACCACGTAAGCCGTGCTGGGCACGTTGAACACAAACGACGCAGGGTACATCATGGGAGTGATGGACCAGCTGGGAACGGCAGAACGCGGTTTAATCAAAGAGCAGAAGAGTCAGCGTTAAGGTCAGACGTACAGTTCACTCTTTAATAAGATGACTTCCAGCAGTGCATGACTGAACTGACACACATGGCTGCAAATTAAGCGCCCCCCTCTCGCCTGTGGTGGGACATTTAAGCGAAGGGTGACTTCAAAAAGCAACACCAGCCTGCTGGCTAGTAAAAACAACTGCGTGTCGGACCACATTTGGTAACACTTTAGTTTAAGGTCTGATCCTTAACTATGAATGAACTGCATCATGGACGTAAATTATGGGGGCCGATGTACAATCAAAACCAGCCGATATATGGTGAGAAGAAACAAGGCTCTGGACCCCCTTAAATGGGTGGAAACCTCAACTACCCCCAGTGCTCAACCCATGGTTATGCCCTTGTACTGTATAATAACAATTATTTAATAATATATTAGTAAATAAAATAGCTCACTTACAATCGAGTTTAAAAATGTATTACAAACTTATCTTACTATCTCACAAAGTATTTACGAAAGAGCTTATAACTGTTCAATTATTACTGATTTCTGAGTCTTACTAACCCATTGTTTTATATTTGCAAGTGATTTACAAGCTCTTTATAGTAACTACCTGGAGGAAGATATCACATTTCTAAACTTGTTTGTGAATGATTTTTTATATATTAAAATATTATCAAATGATTAGCGACAACTTAATGGCAACCATCTTGAGTAGGTACGAGTAACTTAGTAAGTTACTACTGAAATAAAGAATATAAAGAAATATAGTAATTGCATGAAATACATGAACATACGTATGATAACATAATGATCGACGAGCATGGGATCAGAATATAACACTTAGTTTCTGGTTAATTAATACATTAAGTAAGAGTGCACAGCTACATTATTTGTGTCCCCTTAAGTAAAGTGTTACTAGTACAGTGGTACCTCAGATAACTCCAGATTGAATCCTAAAAAGTTTGGGTTCTGATCGAATTTTCCCCATAAGAAATAATGGAAAACCAATTAATTGGTTCCCGGCCCGAAAATATTACACCTAAATATTTTTTTTTTTTTAGCATTTAAACACAAAATGAACCGGATAAAACAAGAAGAGCATATACTGTAGTAAACACATCTAAGGACATTTATCAAAACAGTAATTTGTAAAGTAAGAAAATAAATGTATCCAAAATATGTGTAAAGTTAAAAAAAACAATGTGTCCTGCCCCGATCCTCCGCTCCTTCCGTGTGCCATGCCCCCTCGTTAACCCCGTGTGGAATCCCCGTGTGATCAGCTGTTTCTGGTTGTTGTCATTAGTCCTCTGTATTTAGTCTACGTTTCAGTTTGTTTCCCCAGTCCGGTCATTGTATTGTCCGTCTGCGTTTTGCCGGCCTTACCTGTAATTAAACCCCGTATTCTCCGATACCCTGATGTCTGCGCCTTTATCTCCATTCCGTCCCCGCTCGGCACGACAATATTATTATAATTAAATGTATTAATGGTTTATTATCAATATTAAAATAAATAATAAGAAATCTTTATTTTAAAATGTATTTTATTATATAATAATAATTACTGCTACTGTCTATCATTGTCTAAATGTATTTTTCCTGTCTAAATATATGTATTCAGCTAGTGTAAACATGCACGATGCTATCACAGCGAATGCGAGGCTGAAACTGAAGCGTTACCCTTTGTTTCCCCGCGCGTACAAGTTATCTTAGGTCGGCGTTCACGGTTTGACTTCTGAGATTCAGAATTTAGGCAATTTGTTTCCGAACTGGTTGGTTCGACTTTTAAGAAATTCGAGTTCTAATGAGTTTGAGAACTGAGGTACCACTGTATATTAATAGTTAAGGGGTAGACCTTAAACTAATGTGCTACCCAACATTTTTACTGGGCCAGTTAATTAGTAACAAATATCTGTAAGACTGACAGTGCGGCTATCGACTATTACTCCTAAACAAAGCAGACTTACAAAAAAAGGTGACAACGCAGAAAAATCTTGTAAAGGCCCATTTTCTTGATGGGGAATGAGATTCTCATATTCACATGTTATGTAATCCTGCTTTTCCATGAAGTATATATATATATAGATATATGTATATATATATATATAAAGATTAGCATATGTGTGTGCCTATTCATATATATGTGTGTGTGCACGTGTGTATATATACAAATTCAGTTGGCTGTTGAGTTACTGAGTTACTGAGATGTGACCAGCGGAGTGCATTTTATTCTCCTCATCCGGAGCTCCTGGAAAACGTCCAGGAGCGTGTTGGCTGCACACAGAGGAGCTGAGGATAAATTCCAAAAACGTAAAGCGAGTTCCCCCATTATAAAAATGAAGGCAGCTTTAAATGCCCTGCTTATATTCATATTATGAGAGGTGTTTTGAATGAGCCCAGCACAGATTTCATCGCGCTGGATTCCTGCTCATCCGCTCTAAAACCAAATTAATTTTAGAAGCAGCGCTGGGCATTTCCAGGCCAGTGAATAATAGCATGTGGCAAACATGGATGCAAATCAATTCAATAACCTACACACGTGACATGCAGTAGACGCCTGAAAGGGAAACATGCTGAATAAATAAGATTCTACTTAGAGATCCTGTACCTGAGCACTGTCTTCATTTCTCTGCGCACAGTAGATTTCACTGCACACCACTGCACTTGGAGGAGAGCAGTGCTGTTTGCTCAGTGCTGCTCCCCATAGGTTCCTAGCCAAGTCGCTAATGTCACACGACCATAATACTCAGCATTAAAGAAAACCTCCATTTATTTCCACTTAAATTGTTTGCCTGTCCCCTATGAAGTGTAGCAATGTCCAGTCGGCACCTACCCATAGAGGGCAAGCAGAAGGATGAGGGCGGGGAGGTTCGCTGGGGAGACGTAGGCTTTTTGTTGGAAGCTCAAGAAGATGATGATCACTATCAGACATGGGACTATGTAGTTACACTGGAAGACAACATCATAAAGTCAGAGGTCAGAACAGGCCAAGTCCGTGTGATCCTGCAGAAGGAGGATCTACAGAACTAGCGAACACCACCTTCCTCAGACCTTCTGGGAGATCTTAATCACAGGCCATTCATTCAGCTTCTCATTAATTGGATATCACTGCCAATTCTTCCCTGTAAACTCTTCCCAGCTCGCATGTACAATCATTTGAATCTGCTCAAAAGATGAAAATGCGACCATCCCAAACTAATAAAAAATAATTTATTCACAATATGTATCAATCTACTCATCATTTTAATTATATTTAAAGCATCATCTCTCTCTCTCTCTCTCTACATATATATATATATATATTTTTTTTTATTATTATTATTACTTATTCTGGATGCTGAAGAAACAGCTAAATAGTGTCCACAGTAAACAACTCAATTAAGCCTCCGACGCGACACTATGCATTGGCATCAGGGCCTTGCATGCAGAACATTAAGGAAGAGCTGCCTCACTCAGCTAAATAAATGAACACAGGAGATCTATTACACTCAGGCCAATAAAGCTGGAGAAGCTCACTGCAAATGCAGCAGAAAGTGCTGGCAGACACTTTGGGAGTCTCGTAGCTAATGGAGCACTAAGACTGCACGGCAGAAGATCAAGAAGATTGAAGATTACAATGAACAGGATGACTAGGTAAATGGCCGGGAACGCCTGACTCCGGCCATTTGACAGACTGCACAACAGCAGTTTGGCCAGCTTGCCTGCAGTTGTCCCCGTTTCCTGCTAGATGAAATGTGGCTGCTGTACATGTCTCTCCCGGTGACTGTTTACTGCGGTTATACAGGAGGACACGCTCCCAGAATAATGGTTCTTTTCAACACCACTCGATTCAGCTCAGCTTGTTGAGTCTGATGAAATGAGAACCGCTCAGGACATTGTTGGTTTAGCGAGGTCTCATGACCTTCCTGGCCTTGAACTTGGACAAATTTATTTTCTTTTACAGTGGGAATATTTGTACAGCCAGAACTAATATTTTAGCAAGGCAATCCATGATGTTGTGCATAATAAACAATTCATTAACTACGAAAAAAAGCCAGTCTGGTCTGGCACATCCTGCTGATGATGCTGCCTGAGGAGGGAGTGAAGTTGGGAGTCCTACCATGTCCCAGGCGAAGCTGGCCACCCAGTACACCACCGGGTTGATCCCGCTGACGAACTGAAGGTGCTTCGCCTTGGTGACACGCTCCTGGATGAGGAAGAGCACAAAACTGGCCGGGATGAAGGACATGGCGAAGATCACGCAGATAGACACCACCACGTCCGTGGAGGTCGTGGCTCTGCATGGGGTGACAAGGTCTCTAGGTTGATCTCATTCTGTTATGTTGCAGTTGCTTCTAACATGGCATGGGACTCCTACACACTCAGGAGAAAAAATGGGCCTCATTAAGGAAGAGATGAAAGAAATTAAATAATACTTCATTCACCATTTTGTACAAATATAAGTAAATTGGAATTCTTTAGTTTTCTCAAATCCCATTTTGCTCTCCTTTGAGACAAACGTATAGAGGTGAGAGCGAAGTCTGGCATCTGAGTGGATCAGCCATTTACCCAGAGCTCCTAGAGCATTTTGGGGGATTTAAGGACCTTAATGGCGATGCCACTATTCTTACACTCACACACAGGATTCAAATCAGCACCCAAGAGATCACAGGTACAGAGGACTAACCCACAGAGTCACATATCCGCCCATAATTAGACTCTTTAAGCACCGGATTAAAAACTCGTAACAACGGGCAATCAGCCAGTTACTGTACACTCAGTCTTGCATTGAACAGAATAGTGGTCAGCAGACCACAGTGGTAAAGCAGTCTGGGTAGGGAAGACGAAGACCCTCTGGGTGGTCAACACCACGAAGCTGCATGAAAAATGGCCATGGAGCTGTAACTCAGCCTAAAAACTATAGAAGAAACACATATGAGCAAAAACCCAGCAGAAGGCTTCTTCAGTGCCGATACAATACAAACCCTGCAAAGTATCTCGTGCACTTGGCTTGCATATGTGCGTGTTGGCAAACCCGCTTCAGCATTTGGTCAGAATATAGTAGGAAGTGGTCTGTTCCGCTAAAAATCACTTTCTCCCGCACTAAGGCTTGATGTGGTTGAGCTTGCGAGCGGCTACAAGCCATTAGACAGTGAATAATGAGTTCTGATGTGGAGGATGAGGTTCAGCTGTATACAATTAAAATTCATTGGTTTCCCACAACTTCCACGGCACTCCGCTGCACGGTACTTCCAACAAGATGACCACTAGCAGTCCTGAAGTAAATACCTAACTACATCAGTCTTTAAACCTCCATTTCAATGTGCATTTTTTTCATCGTGTGTGGCTTCTCAAACAGTTCGACACATTGATTAATTGATTACATCTTACAATAATTAAAATTATAACAAAAAATGTCAGATAGACAAGCATATGATTTTTCAAGGACTAGACATCAATTTTCCTTAAACACTTATCTGGTACACGGTCACCCTGGACAGGAAGCCAGTCCATCACTGAGCACACAGGCAACTTAGAGATACCGTTTCACCCAACCTCATGTCTCAGGATGAGAGTAAACTAGAGTACCTGAAGAAGAGTAATGCAAACTCACGGGGACCATGCAAACACAAATGGAGCTGGGGGTGAAAATGAAATCCCCAACCTTGCAGTGAGCCTGCATTGCAACTCATTGAGTCACCATCCCTTCTTCAATAAGGATTATTAAAGTTGAATCACATTACCAATCAACAACCATTTCTCAACCTTAACAGGTTCTTGAACTCATGGGTGTAAATTATGGGAGGATGTGGGGTTGTAACTCTCCCAATAATTAAAACCAGCCAATATAACCCCCTGGACCCCCTTAAATGAATGGAGACCTCAACCCCGACAATGTTCAGCCTAACGTTATGCCCTTGTTTGTACTGCACTGGTGTCTGCAACAGTCCATATTCACCATAAACTAAAAGCAACAGTCAAATAGTGTAACGCGACGATAGCTATTCTAGTTCGAGGACGTGCTCACTAAGCGCTCTGCATCAACTGAGAAATGAGGCCGCAGCAACCCACCGCTGCGATCCAAAGCACCCGGCGCTCCCTCTCCAGACGGCTGGTGAGGTAATTAACATATTAAATAAGTCACCAACATGGACCTGGCACTGTGTTCACCCGCTCAGTCTGGATGCAATTAGGCCATATCAATATGAAATCAGTACCGCGGCATGCAGGACCAGATTCCAGCAGGTTTGTTTAAACAGGCTCACCATGACGAAGGCATGCCTGCACAACTAAATAACTGGTACGATAACCTTGAAGGTAGGGGATCAGAAAATGACTGTGAAGAACTTAATGACAGTGCCCCCCCCCACCCACCCTCCAATCGTCAATGTAATAACACTTCTGATGATTTCAGAATAACAGCCAAGTGCTTAACGTACCAATTCGTTCCTCAGTACTAAGGAGAAATGTCTCTATAGGCAGTGTTGGGGAAGTCACTCACAAAAGTAATCCATTACAGACAGAGGTGGAATGTTCAGGTCCAGAAAGTACAAATACAGACCAAGGTTTTGTTTCAACCAACCAGCTGAGTATAAAGAGCCGCAGTTACAGAGTACTCAACTGGTTTTGTACTTTCTGGACCAGAACTTTCCACCTGAATTTGTAATGGATAACTTTTGTGAGGAACTTCCCCAACACTGTCTATAGCAGGGGTAGCCAATCTTATCCGCAAAGGGCCGGTGTGTATGCAGGTTTTCGCTGCAACTCCCTAATTAGGTCACTAATTAGAGGACTGATCGGCTGTCCTCACACCTGGGTTTGAACAGCTGTCCTAAAGGTTATCCCAAAAACCTGCATACACACCGGCCCTTTGCGGATAAGATTGGCCACCCCTGGTCTATAGGAAACTGTCACTGCTAGAGAATTTTAAGGTGGCTGAAGGATCTGTAAACACACACTAAAAAAAACACCTTTGGCTTCTCTGGCCTGGAAACAGGTTTATCACAGGTAAAGGTGATAAGGCTTTCAAATCTCACTGGTGTGCCAAAACGTGCCCTGGATACCAGAAGAAGTGACGCAGTGTGTGAGCGCACGTCGATTTATATTTGGGAATGTTGTAAAGCCGGAATGTGATTTCCGAAAGCCACAAAGGCCACTCCTGTGTGTGCAGCGTCCATCTGGGGCCCTGGAACACGAAGGAGACGCATCTCTCTCAGCCTCTGCTTATTAGCGCCATGAGCGAGACCCCGGATCAGGCGGAAAGCAAACTCTCCTGGGAGAAACGGAGCAGAGGTAGCAGGAGCGTGAGATGAAGGACCAGGTCTCCTCTCCTGTGGGGTCTCTCACCCCCTCCCCGCTGCTCGTCTCCCCAGGCCGGGGAGCTCTACATTAATCCACAGATCATGAGTAATAAATTGCGATGAGCCTGCAGGCTCAAACGAGGATGGGGGGGGGGCTGCTGTCTGGCAGCATTAATTATCCACAAGTCCTCCGTCGTGTCTGAGTCATCGCTGTCAATCTCCCTCAAACACAGCAGGAACACATAACCCCCCCCCCCCCGGAAACTAAGCCTCCTTGACACGCCATGCCCTGCGACGCGCCAGCCCGCAAAGGCGGCGTCCTTGCAGCACCAAGGCTCAGGACCGGCTCCCGGCGCTAATCCACGGGTGGCACAGGACACAACGCGGCAAAGTCAGCCGGTCCCGAGCGGATCAGCACGTCTCGTGCACACAAACACACACGCACCAGCAACGCAAGTACACACCTAAAGTGCATTTGCGAAACGTGTGAAACCCTGCCAGTACAGCTGAATTTAAACATATAGTCAGTCAGAAATTAACAATATTTTACCTTTATCAGGGAACATTAAGAAAACTGAAAATCAAAATATTGGAAAAACTCAAAAGAACTAAAGTATTTTAAACAAGTCAATACAAATATAAATATTTAATTAAAAAATAAATCTCATATTTTGTACCCCATTCTCCCCTCACTCCCTTGATACTAAGGCTCTCTCATTAACTCTTTCCCATTTCCACCCATCTCCCTCCCCCCTTTCCCTCCCTCCCTCATGTATCCCACTTTCCGTCTCTCTCCTCTCATTCCCTCTCTCCATGTCCACTTACATAGCGACAAACGAGAGCTGCTCCTTGGTCAAGTTGAGGGGGTGGTTGAAGACGGAGATCCCATACTCTCTGGGGTTCTGCCGCTTCTGGTCCAGGTTGCCCCGCAGGATGCCATTGTTGGCCACGTTGATGAAAGACACCATGGAATGCCAGCCCTGGTTGTAGAACCACACCTGGAAGACAAAAAAGGTGCATGTTGGTAATCTCCCTACTAGGACAGGAACTCTTACAACTTTAGAAAAGGAGCAAATCAGACACCTCAATCTCAACAAAGACAACTGGATTATTGTTCCCAGTGTTTCCAAAAAGTAGTTAAAGCCCCTTATTGTTGTCGTACGATTAAGGTATAGAATCTTTCAAAGTGTTCAGCTTTCAGGATGTTCCCAGAACATTATCCCACTACTACAACTGCCACTGCAACGTTAAAAGGATGTTCAGGTAATGTTATTGTGCTGACATTGAGAAAACCTTTGTTAAAATGTAAAATGAGGAAATAACGTCCCCTTAATGCTTGGGGCAGCTTGTGGGCTAAGCCTCTGTGGCTGTCATGTGAAGGTTACCGGGTCAAGCCTAGCTTTAGAATGTTTGAGGGTCTGTGAGTAAGGCCCTTAACTCCCAGCTCCCTGGGTGCCACAACCAGTAGTTGCCCTTCAAGGCCAGCTTGCTCTCACGTACAAAGAGCAAGTTGGTTGAGGAGTAAAAAGAATTTCCCCACAGTGATCAATATAGTATCTATCATTATTGTTATTATAGTAACAATGTTCTCTGACGACTTTGAGAAGATCTTCAAATACCGTTGGCTAAAATTCTGGGAATGTTCCCTGTTAGCTGGGGCACCACCACTCACTGTAGTAGGAAAAAATGTGGTGTAGGAGAACCTCAATGGAAAATGACCCTCATAATACCCTTTCAGCCCAGTCACAGAAGCAAAGCCTCATTGTACACATCCTTGTGATGTGGCTGGGATGCTCAAATGACATGTAGAGTGAAGAATGTGGGCTTCCCCACAGCAATATCCTCATCGCATATTGTGTATGCTTGGAAAGAAAAAACAATTTCAGCACATGAACAGAGGAAACCACTATTTGAAGCATGTGCTAACAAGCATTAGATAATGAGGAATGCGGCATGCATGGATGGCAGAATGAGAGGCGTTAGAATTGTATGTAATATCCCTGCCAAAGCAAGTCCTTAGCTGGAACACTTTAAGGCAGGGGTGGGCCAGTTTGTATGCAAGTTTGTGGGTTTTAGGTAAGTTGTTCAAACCCAGGTGAGAAGACTCTTCCGCCAATCAGTCCTCTAATTAGTGATTTAATTTGGGAGTTGCAGCGAAACCCGCATACATAGTTGCCCTTTCTACATAAGATTGCCCACCCCTGTTTTAAGGCCACTGAAATACATGTAAGCCCCTGTGCAGGCCTGGCTTTTGTTGATACCTTGATATTATCCTTTGTCCCAAGTTGTTTCAAGAAGGTTCCTGCCTTCTGAAGAATGTGATCAATTTCATTTCCCTAAGAGATGAAAAGCAACAGATTTTTAATTGGTCACACTTGGAAAAACACATCTCTTTCCTGAAATGCAAAACATACAGAAGTGAGAGGTTAATCTTCGAGTCGTCACTACATAGCGTGACACTGAGTACATAGACTAGTGGACTAGTTTTATGTATGAACACAGGAGAAAAACAGAATAAATACAAAAAATATATAACCAAAGAATTTAGTAGTGGTCTGTTTTGCTAAGACTTTGTGGACAAATGACACCGTCGCCATCCAAATGAGCTTAGTTTCGCACAAAAAGTGAGACAGCCTTTGCCAGGCCAATTAATCCCTTTGTTGTCTACTAGTTATCTATCAGGTTACTGAGAAAACCAGTTATTACACTAGGACCATGTAAACAAGTCATACATCCCAGTCATTTAGATCCAAGGATAGCAAAGGGTATATCATGGGGGTGGATCTATCATATTGATAGTCATTTATGAATATTATTTGTGGATGTGACTGTTAGCCACAATCAGTTGTAGACTATAAAATAATGGGTAGCCAGAGGTGTGTGCAGGGTCATGGGACAAGGGTCTGTACTGTAGGTAGGTCTAACCTTTAGGAATAGGCAAGATGGAGAGGGTATTTTTGGCTGCAGTATATTATACCAGCTTTATTTTGTTGCATGTTTAGCAGCTCAAATAAGGAGTTTTGGTTTGATTTAAGGTCTGCAGTATGTCTGAATGGAAAGACACTTCAGCATCTATAGTCTTTAGCATGCAAACTGTGCTGTGGTATCAGGTTCTGTCGCACAGGGATTAGTGCACTGGCCTTGTACTAGGGGTCATCAGTGCCAATCTCGCTGGGGCCTTAGCTTTATGTGGCAGTGGTGGCCGATTGGTTAGGGAAGCGCACTTGTATTTAAAAGGTTGCTGGTTCCAATCCCCGACCACAAAGTAACACTGAGGTATTCATAGTAAGATGCCGTCACACATGAGTTAAATGCAGAGGAGAATTTCAGTGCTGCCTGCTGCAGTGTATCAGCATTGACAATCAATCACTTTTAACAAAAAGTCACTAGAAAAATTTAATTTTATTAGTTTGTTTTTACATTTATTGGAATCAGATTGAGTTATTGTGGTTAACAATGTACTTTCCAGTCCTGTACATGTAGACATTTATCCAGTGTAGATGCCTGGCACCGTCCTGAAGTTCACCATGTGCGATTTCAGTCCAATGTGTCATGTAAAAGCAAGCAGTCTAGTACCATCATTGTCCATCTAAGGTCAATAATAAGCCCTTTCTGTGTATCCAGCTTGTGCTTTCTACACATAAGGCTTGGTGAAGCCGCCACCTCTGCACCGGAATTATCTGTTACCTCACATTTATTTATACGTTCAACATGCTTTTAAGGGAAGAAAAAAATATCTACGGAGGGCATTTACAGAATCTAATCCATTCCCTGAAGTATTCTCCCTCCTCAAGGACAAGGCCAAACGACCTGCGAACAAGGAAGTAGGAGAAACGCAGTGAAAATCGATAAGCGCCTGGGACCTGCTGCCTCTTGACAGAACACTTTAAGCGAGGGTTATTTCTTCCAAAAAGACATGCTTTTTTTTTTTTTTTTTTTGCTTTTTTTTCCTTGTGTAATCTTTAATGTTAGGCTGAGTGACTTCAGACAACTTAAACTGTCTACAATGGCTTCTCAGTTTTTCTTAAAGGCCCCAGAGGGAACCGGTCTCTTGCTATGTTCGGGGAAAAGTGCACTTTCTTCCCTAATTTATTTCGTCCATCTATAAACCTGATCGTGGAAGGCATTCTCTTGTGTAGGATAGTCTGTAAGAAGTATCGGCTCAATTTGATACACTTAACGGCATCTTATGTGCTAGGGACAGATGGAATAAAAAATAAAATTTTAGTAGAGATAAAAATAAAACCGAGGATGATGATTTATAACAAAAACAGGCTGAATTCATATTGACATAAGTTAACTAGACACCTTATTTTGCCAAGTGAATATTTGACACACAGACCTAAGTGTCTCCAAAAATATCGATTGGGTTTTGAACTGTGGCAGGCAGAGATGATGCTTTGGATCTTCCCATGTGTGAAGGCATTTCTACGCAGCTCCGTTCATGACATAACAATAAAAATTATATATATTGTAGCCACGTTTTAAAATATTGTGGGAACAAATAAGTAAAACGTGGCCACAATTTAACTAAAACGAGGGAATGAATAAATAAAACGTGGCCAAGATATATACAATTTTTATTGTTATGTCATGAGCAGGGTTGCACAGATTTCTCTGTCCTGTTCATTCTTATGAGCTAAAATATGGCTCTTAAGAGAATGAAAAAAAGCACCCAATCAAAAGTTGAATGCATGCTCCTCTGCCAAGGTCACATGCATCGGATGTCTTCCAAGGAGATCCCGAAGAAGATGGGTCTCTTTGAAAACACCCAATAATGAGCAAGCTGGAGTGAAACACTGAAACTCTTGGCTTTTAGTAATACATCAGCAGCCTCGTGATGACTGAAGTACATCTGAGCTCATCCTTTGAGACATTGTATCCAAGGTACATGTGGGGTGGAGCTATTTATGTACCATATGGTCTGAAGCCCACATCTCAGATACGTTAAAATATATAGATACTGTAGCATGTCTGTCTTGCAGTGAGTATTATGTAATCTCAAACCAACAGAAGCACGTAGCAACACACAAAAGACACAGTCATAAACACTTGTGCTTTTCTCTGAGATGACCAAAACACGTCTCTTTGTTATCAAATCTCATTCTTCGCCCAAGTGTGCATAAAAGGACATGCAAATGCCACCCCTTAGACCCCAGATCCTTACCAGAGACTGGGAATTAAAAACATTGCCCAGCCGTCTTAGAGCCGTGCCAATCTCTGTTTCATTCATCTGGACCTGCGAGTTGACACCACCGACTGAAATTCCCCCATACCTTGAAAGGGACAAATGACAAAGTAAGTAAGTATAATACTCAAGTAAATAATACTCACAATACAATTTAATACTCACATGCACCGTAGAGAGAAGCTGGAGTTGAACTCCTGAATAAACTGTCAATCTAATTCTTTCAGAAAGGTAATAAATTTGAATTATAGTAAAATACCAAGCTATAAATGATTAAGGATAAAACTATGTATGTGGAAATATACATTTATTTAGTAGATGTGTTTCTTAAAAGTGACGTGAAAGTGAGGCAGATAATACAACAAAATTAAATATAGCAATTCCCTTTGAAAAAATGCCGCATACAGAAGCAGCTTTTCATTTGCTACATCAAAGTACCTTATTTTGCCAGATTTCTCATAGGTCTTCAGCAGAAAGTCAGTCATGTTCATCCCGGTCAAATTCTGAAGGGTATCAGTAGTGTTCTGTAGCCTCTGGGGGGAAATGGGGTTGAGGGGAGGCATCAGAAATTAAATAATAATGCCTCAAACTCACAAAACGCATCAACAAAATAACTAATAACATGCAAAGTCATTTCCTACAATTGCTACATTTTTTAAAGCCTAAAACAATATAATATTATTTATTTTGTAAAGAATGATTAACTAAGGACTGCTAATTTCTGAAGCAAAGGGTTAGCAGATAAGTCAGAATCAGACTGCATCCAGCATGCTCTACGTGTCCATGCCACAAATAAGATATTAAGGATGTTTTCCTCCTCAAATCCTTCTGCAAACGTCACGTACGGCTGCTGTTCCCTTTCATTCATCAAAATCATGCTCTACGCATGACACAAGCTTTAATAAACCAGATGCGACTATCGGTGATGCTCGCACGCATTAACAATAGCCACGATGGATATACACGACCTTAGAACACAACAGATATCTGGGTGTAATTGTCAATTAGGAATGCCTGCGTTTAGAGTCTCATTTCCAACCAGCTCAAGGCGACAGTGTCAAAGACCTTTAATTAGGGCTGCCCAGCATAAATAGACACCTTCCAACACATAATTAGGGAATGTAGCACAGTTGTGGGCATTCTCTGCAAACACGACACCCCATTGAGGCTCATTCTGAAGATTCTCCCTGACGATGATTAGAATTCTTTCCAGCAAGCTTAATGAAAGCTATTTATTAGGGGCCAGAACCCAGCCAATCCAAGCCATCACTCTGTCAGTCTCACTTGCTTCTAGGATTATTGCAGTAGCTATAAGCAAATATAGCAGGCTGGGAAAAATGTTTGGAGAGTGCCCACTGCTGATTAACTGTGTTTGAACGTTTTCTATTTGTCATCCTGTAATGAAATGGATATATGCAAACCAAGAATGTGGTAATTAATTCCTTTTTTCAGACTGAAGAATCCAGTAACTTCTTTTGTGATCAAACAAATGTCAGGAATACATATTCAAGATATAATTTGTTTACACAGCCTTGAGACGCACCAAAGGCCTTCACTTGGCAAATGGTAAAAACCATTCCAAGAATTTCATCATCAGGGTTGCTTGGCTTCAGGACAATGGGTCAACGGCTAGCCAGTCCAGAACCGGAATCCATCTGTGGTTTGTGAACCTCAAGAGCCACAGAAGGGATTTCTTTCCTTTGCATAATTAGCATTGCTCTGCATTAAGAAGCAGCATGTGTTTAATTACTTTGGCTGCCTCCCACATTATTCCAATTAGTTACGTACACAGGATTTCCACGGTGAAAAAAAATAATAAAAAAATTCCACCACATATGTAATACCATGGCTTCCTCAAGGGTTTACTGGTGTGCCTCTATAAATCAATAAATCCTTCCAAGGCCAGGAGAGAGGGAAAAAAGGAGCAAGGGGAGAAGAGGAGAAAAAGGGAAGAAAAGGAGGAGTGAAGAGTAGACGTCCTTTACATCAATGTTTCCCAACCCAATCCTTGGGGACACCAAGATAGTCCATGTTTTTGCTCCCTCCCAACTCCCTGCCAGACAGTCCAAATTTTCGCTCCCCCCCAGCTCCCTGCCAGTCAGTTCAAATTTTTGCTCCCTCTCAACTCCCTATCAGACAGTCCACATATTTGCTTCCTCCCAACTCCCCGCCAGACAGTACGCATTTTTGCTTCCTCTGAGTTCTCTATCAGATAGTTCGTGTTTTTGCTTCCTCCCAGCTCCCCACCAAACATCCAAATTTTTGCTCCCTCTCAGCCCCCTACCAGACAGTCCATGTATTTGCTCCCACCCAGCTCCACGCCAGTCAATACACGTTTTTGCTTCCTCCCAGTTCTCTACCAGACAGTTCACGTTTTTGCTTCCCCCCAGCTCTCTACCAGACAGTTCGTGTTTTTGCTTCCTCCCAGCTCCCCGCCAGACTTCCACACTTTACCTCCCTCCCATCTCCTTCCCAGACAGTCCACATTATTTGCTACCTCCCCGCTGGAGAAAAAGAGAAAGAAAACAATACTTGATAAAATATCCTATAAAGGGTATTATCATAGAAAGGAACACCATAAACTGAGTGTAGGTGACATTGTTTTTGAATCTCGTACCAAGCCGGTCTTATGGCTATACTATATGTATCCTTTCGCACTGCAGGAAGCTGTAATGAGACTATGAAACTATGTTTCTCCACCTGTCACGTTCAGTGTCATCCAAAGAGGCACATCAGACAGATGCTTGTGCGAGGGGCAGCATGAGTGTGATCCTGTGTGCTTTGTATACGTGCTCACACTGGTGCGAGGAAGTAAAAGAGCCAGCTTGTCTAGTTAACATTTGATTCTGTAGGAGCGCTGTCTCTTTCAATGCAAGCCATAGGCAAGTCCCAGATGCCAGAATTGCTGTCAGCCAAAGGCAAGGTCAACGTAAAGCCTCTCCGACAAATAATGTTTCATTGTTACTTGGCTGCTGGGCACAGCATGAGCTGAGGACAGATGTGGAGTCAAAGTCATATACAACAGCCAACCCACCGAAAGATTTACACTGTACCAATAGTTATGTCAACAGTACAATCACCCTTTAAATAGACAGATGTGGCATATACATAGTCAGTGATGTATTTGCAGACATCTTTCTGTACATTTTTGCCAGTGGAAGTGAACATGGTTGTTGACCTAAAATGAGAAGATGTGAGAAAATGACACAGTGATTTGATGGGGACGGAATCAGAAGCTGTAATGGGTATTGCAACAAACTGCCGGATAGCTCAAAGACAAAGGACCAACGGCACTGGCTTCCCATCCTAAAAGCCCTGCTGTTCCTCTGTGATTCATTCAGCTGGCCTCCAATTTGCTCCCACTTATTAAGCATTTCTTTGTCTTTGCATTTATATATCAGGTAACCATATTTCATTAAAAAAGTTTAAAAATAATTAAAAGTTGGATTCTAGAAAACAGCTTGGAAGGTTGCTTATTCTTTGAATTCTATGTGGTAAAATAATTGGCTGTTCTACTATTAAAACAAAGTATATAATATTGACACGCCAAGGTTTTTACAGGGACAGACCAGAGTAGCCTTATTTCAGAAGTAATTTTAATTAAACCAAGCCTGGATGTGAAAACAAAACCAACGGCACATTTCTTTTGAGGCTGCTTAGCGTTTAATCTGCATAGTGTTCTGGGCAGGATGTTTCACCAGATAAAAATATTTTCCAGCTATAGTTGTTTCTAGGTAGTCAAACGGAAGGGTCCATAAATGTTAGTCTGCCCTCCTTCAGAGATTAACTAAATTTAATTTCTGCATCCTGCTCATTCTGCTAAATTACTGTCACTGGGGTTAGAGGCCAGTGGGGAACATTACTGCGCTATCCCGACTTACACAGCAAGTACCAGACAAACTCGGAACCTGGCAAAATGGGACCTGAAGATCTGACGCAGCCGCTGATGGCCCCCACATTTTAACCTGCCTGTCGCTGACCGCACCTAAACACCAGCTAGATGCCATATTCCATAAACTCTCTGATCCATGAGCTCACCTGCGCATAGACGTCTACAAGAAACAAAGCATCCCTTGTGTCGTGATGTCACCTGGCAAACACGCTACGATCTCTGCTGCTACAGCTGACTCACCACCACGTACAAACTTCTGCCTCAATCAAATCCCGATCACAACCCAAGCAGCCAGTTTCATGCAATGCTGGAAATGCTGCAGATGTTAAACAAAGAGGCGGACAGCTTTGACCTGAAATTAAGCGCGGTGGTTGCGATTTTTCTGACTTCCTGTTATCCGTTATCTACTCTGGAAAGTGCGATTCATTCCTCGAAGATGGCTGGCGCAAAAGCCTGAATGCTCTGTGGCCCATGGTCCGGGAAAGCATAAAGGAGGGCAGGTTAGCACAATTCCTTAAGTCACAGGGGCTGCAACAAATTTGGAGCATAATTGGATTGTTCTGAGTTCAGGGCCTGATATGATATGCTTTATGGGGCCCAAAATCTCTAGCGGCACCCCTGCCCACGGTAATGAAGCCAGAGCAGAGCATCGATACAATGAACCAATCGCAACTTATGACTTTTCATGCTGGAAAATTACTGTGGTTTCATCGATTCTCATGTTGCTATGGCAACAGTCTGATTTAGATACTGTGGTGATGAAGTTTCTGGATATTAAAAAAAAAAACTACTTCCAGCTGAAGGACTATTATAAATCGCATTCATACTGCATATTATATACATAGCACATTTTGTATCTAGCATACAGCCAACTTTGCAATATTAACTACAAAATGTTTGCATTGGTCAGCCAAGCACTTTTCTCACTCTCCTTAATAGAAGTTACTCCTCAGAAGGCGTCCATTACCAGACGTCGGCGTTTGTGATCGCGGTGGCACATCCAATTCCTGCGAAACTCGCTCATTCTATAAAAAGGTCCTTGGAAGGCCTGCTACGGGCAGGCAGAGACAGGCAGAGAGAGGCAAAGACAGGCAGAGAGAGGCAGAGACAGGCAGAGAGAGGCAGAGACAGGCAGAGAGAGGCAGAGACAGGCAGAGACAGGCAGAGGGAGGCAGAGAGAGGCAGAGACGCTTGATTGGGGGAAGAATCAGGGGACTTTATTTGGGGACGGGAACGGAGACGAGTTTAACAGAAACAGTGGGGTGGAACCGAAAAGGAAGACAGTGGATTTGCCGTCAGCGTGGAGGGAAAATGGGTGAGAGAGAAACAAGCCCCCAGTCATGGAAAGGCTTACAGCAGCATGTGAGCTCAGGGATCAGACTCTCTGGGGATGAGAGAGCACATCTCAGGCTGATATGAGGCTTGGTAATGAAGGGCAGGTGAAGTGAATGACAATGCATTTCAGCAGAACTCAGAAAAGTCACAGATGTCCACACCCCTGCTTTTGGGTTGGGGGGGGGAGGGGGGGTTGTGTTGCGATAACGGGATCATCCCATTTTTCTTCAGGTTGAGAGTTGCAGCCCAAGGGGGGGGTCCAAGGTGACTTTTTGTAAGGGGCCCAGAATTTCTAGTCACACCCAT